CTCTCATCTGGGTGTAGCTCCAGGGATTACTCGGCCCCCGTGAACTTCATCAGCGCCGGGCTGAAAAAGTCGGCGGCAGAGGATGCGTCGGAAGAAGACTCCGATGAAGATGAAAAGCCCGTTAAGCAGGAGGAAATCCCTAAAGAGTTTGTGCCCAAGAAGTTAAAAACAGTGAGTTACCCGGCAGCCTCCGGTTCTGCGGAAGGTGTTTGTGGAACCTGGCTGCAGCAGCAGGGCGCTGGAGGAGGGGAGCGGTAGTCAGAAGCCAGAGAACCACGAGTGACCGCGTGCAGGCGGGGGGGAGGTTTTTTGCATCATTTGTAGCTCTTCTGATGTGTCATTGTGTGTCCTTGGGAGCATCAGTCCTTTTGGGCCCGTTTATCTTCCTTAATATTCCCTTTGGTCAATAGAGGTTAAAATAAAAGCATGCCTGTGGCTTACTGCCTTTCAGAGACCTTTTTTTTTTTTCATCTCACAGAACAGTATGACAAATGTAGGCACGTTATAGATTAAAAATCAGACTGTTATTTTCAGTTATCAGAGGCAGAAAGAATCGGGAAGCAGCTTCAGCTAAAGTCGGTGGTAGAGCCTGATAACTGGCAGCATGTCAGTCTGAGCTTGTCAGGACTTTCCTTTTCCATCTGTGGAATTTCAGGAAAGTCCTGAGAAGGCAGGGAGCACGCACAGGCACTCGAGTCACGACATAGCGAGCTGTGCAGTGTGGTGACGGCCGAAGCCCTGCTGGGACCTTTTTGAGTGAGATTTTACAGGGCTTGGTTGTTGCGATGCCTGAAAGGTGGTGTGGGGTTGGTTGGTTGGTTGGTTTGTTTGTTTGTTTGTTTGTTTTAACAGGGCGGTAATTTCAAGCCAAGTCAGAAAGGCTTTGTTGGGGGGACAAAATCTTTTGTGGATTTTGGCAGCTGGGAGAGACACACGAAGGGAATTGGGCAGAAGCTTCTCCAGAAGATGGGTTACGTCCCTGGAAGAGGTCTCGGGAAGAATGCACAAGGTACCGTGGTTGTGTGTTGGGTCTTCTATTGTTAACTAGTGATTTGGAGAAGAGATTGGGTTGTTTTCTTGCATCTCTTGCGGGTGATCTGGGTCCTCGTGATAAGATTTAATTGTATTTAACTTAAATAGGCCAGTTGCATGCACTTGTTATTTTGCAAGAGAAAAAGAGGAAGAAAGAAGGGGGATAAAATTCCAGAGGTAGTCAGCTCACAGAAAAGGAGGTGTTACTCTGTGACGGAATAAAGGAGCGGCGAAATGCAGATATGGATAATAATATTCTGCTTTGGTTTTATTGGTGTGTGCTGGAATTAAACAATTTTATAGCCGCTCAGAAATGAGTGAGGTGGTAGAAGGTGCCGTAGTGACAGCGGCAGAACACCAGGCTGGGGGTTTGTGCTGATTTGGTAACTTCGGGTTGTGTAGGGACTGTTCTGTCTCCGTAAGCAAACTGCTCCTGCTGACCCGACTGCCGCCCTCCCAGGTATTATCAATCCGATTGAGGCCAAGCAAAGGAAAGGCAAAGGAGCCGTGGGGGCATACGGCTCCGAGAGGACCAGTCAGGCTTTGCAAGACTTCCCTGTCGTGGACTCGGAAGAAGAAGCTGAGGAGGTATTTGGGCGATTTGTGGTACACCTGTTCCCCTGTTGTGCTGTATGCGTGAAATTCAGTCCTGCTGTTAGTGTCTGTGTCAGAGAAGACTGGTTGGGCTCACGTTGGATAAGAAGCTAAAGACATAGCACATCCATTTCATTTAGACCTATTTGTTTTGTCACTGAAATGTTCTTTGTTGTTTCTGGCTCACTTTATTCCAGTAGTCTTGCTAGAACCCCACCTTCAAAGAGTTTCCTGAGGTAAATAGCCTTTGTCTTTTGTTTAGATTAAAAAAAAAAAAAAATTAAAAAATCAGAAATGTATGGTTAGCATTGTGAATAGGGTGGTTGACTGGACGACAGCATCTGAGCCACTTTGTCACGGAGCTTTACCATTTTCCCAGTTATTTTGCTCTACAGCATTCTTCTTTCACCTGGTGGTTATTTTCCTGTAGAAAATAGAAACAAATCTGGAGTGTTACAAAGAGCAGCAACCACAACTCTGCTCTGTTTTTGTTTAGGAATTTCAAAAAGAGCTCAGTCAGTGGCGGAAGGATCCTAATGGAGGCAAGAAAAAGCCGAAATACAGCTATAAGACAGTAGAGGAACTGAAAGCCAAGGGCAGGATCCACAAGCAGCTTTCGGCCCCTCATAAGGAGCTGTCTCAAGTCAAGGTAAGGTTGGTAACCCAGGAGGTGGCACCTCTGGGAAACAGTTTATCCGCTTCAGGACTGTGAGGGCTTTTCAGCCATCAGTAACCTTAACAGCAGCCACTTCTAGGAACTGGCTGTCTGCAGCCTCCTGAAAATCCAGGCCTCGGACTCATCACTGAGTCATGAAATTGCCCACTGTGCCACCTAGGACATTGGGTTTGTTTGTAAGCAAGTTCTTTGGCCTCAGAAAAATTCAAATTAGCTGAAGTGTGGTTTGTTTGGTTTTTCACTTGCAAGTTAAGTTTAGTTGTTTCACATTTGTCCTAGGTAGGATGCTTATCCGCTTCTGAAAGCGCAGTTGTATTGATTGGGATTGTGCAACTAAACACGTAGTTTGAACCACCTTCTACCTAAAGGGGACAGTAAGGGATTTGTCTGGTATGCACTTAATAAAAT